CATGACTTATGCACTGTCCAGGAACTCCAGTACACCATGGATTCTAGGAGTTACCTGAGTATCACCAAACGTCATTTCTGTGGCTGATTCCCCCGCCCCCCGTCCCCCCCCCCCCCCCCCCCCCCCGCACATATCCCTTTGAGTTAGAATCGTTTCTTAAGCACAATGAGGTGTTCTTATACAGTGCTAGTGTTTATGTCAAGTGATTCATCATTATTCTGCCATATTAGCATTCAAGTGGATTGCCACAGCCTAGTGACAGTTTGAAAATTGATTTGTGCTCGTCGGTTATTTGAGCTGTAAGCTAAAATGAAGGTAACTTTATTCTTGAGAGCCTCAGTAAGTTATTCTTTGAGTTGTTTGATTGTTATTCTGGCTGTTGTTTAAGCTGCTTTACTACTGTATGACTGTATTAACTGCAACGGGTTAACTGTATGACTTCACTAAGTGTCTGACTTTAATTAAGGAACAATAGTGTTCCATCGGAAAGTAGCCAGCCTGGCCTCTCCAGCACCTAGATTCACGAAGCTCCATATATTTCTTCGTAAGTATGTGTGCTACGAAGGTTCCTAAGTACCGGCTAAGAACGTGGCAAAGTGCGATTCAGAAAAGTGTACTTACAAATTTTTCAAAGTAGATCACTTAGGTCTCGCTAGATGTCACTAGGACTTTTGGTTTGGCCAGAGAGAAGGTAACATTTTTCATCTTACAGCTGTAGCCAATCACGACGCTGGCATATCGGAGGCTATCCATGATCACTTGCCACCTATTTACGTCGAATTTTCTTATAAAATTAGCATATTTCGAAGTAAAACTATTTTGTTTTCAAAACAATGTTTTTTTCAACTTATAGAGTCACCACCAACATTGTAGTAAACATATATGATATATTTTTTGCTTATTTACGTAATTCTAAGAGATAGTGTGCAGCTTTCCTTGCCGCTCCCAAGATTTGAGAAGCGTTGGTATTAATTTACATATATATTTACGTAAATTTACCCAAGGGCCACTAACTATCTAGTGGCCTCGACGAGGACAAAAAGCCGGGGGCTTGTCAAGTCCTGCAAATTGTCCTAATGATATTTTCTAGCTGGATTTTGGCATTTACGGCTTCAGCGGGTATGCGGTTCCATGGGTTTATAACCCTCTTGGTGAAAAAACATGTTTTCAATCCTACTTGAGAGGACATACTCTCCAACACTATATCTGTGATTGCCCTGTTTTCAGTGACTTCAGACGAAATGGTATGAGGTACTTTGAGCTCTGTAATTATTTCATACACTCAGGAATATTGAAAGATATTCTTGTGCTGTTCCCAGATTCTGCTAGTGAGGGCTAATAGATCAGCCTTACATTTCGTATTATCTCCTGATTCCATGTATGATTGGCCGTCCTGTGAGGTGGGGATGTTGGATGAGCTTGTAGCTAGTTTATGATCTACACCGTAATCTTTCATATAGAATAGGGTAGCACCACATTGCTATGTACACCTAAGCTTGTTAGTAAAAAGAAATCAGTAATAAAGGTTTTAAATTATAGCTTGTGTTATTATTATTACCAGTATTATCCTTATTAAATCATAAATGTTAACCATGGATCATTAATTAAGATCTCATATTGATATGTAATGTTGACCAAACCACACACTAGAAGATAAAAAGAAGACAACTATGTTATTGATATTTCTTGTGAATCATTTAATTGTGCAGTGTGTCTCATTTTTTCACTTCTTTGGATATACATTAGAAAAAAATACGATAAACAACTCATAAATATTTTTTTATTTAAATAACTGGAACAATATTTTTACAGTTGACAGGATTTGTTTTACTCACAGGAGCATTATCTGTTAAAAAAAAATTTGGTTTATTGTTACACACAATGGTGCTACCAAGCCTTCCCGGCTTGGTGCTTTCTTTTGATAATTACTTACTTGTTACACATAGCCAAATTGTGTAACAGGAAGAGGTCTTGGACACAAATTTGTTCCATGCTAAATGTAGAGGAATCAGGTGAGTATTCCTCAAATAAAATAGCCTGCCTCAGCATATAAGGTAAATAAAATAAAATAATCATTCCTCAAATAAGTGGCTGCCTCACCTCACTGCCTTACTGCTACATAGCCTTCCCGGCATGGTGCCTTCTTTTTGATAATTACTTATTGTTACACAGTCAAATTGTGTAACAGGAAGAGGTCTTGGACCCCTACTTCCCCTTCTCTTTTTTAACAGGCCATAATAGTCCATATAGTTATAATTTTAGGTTTAAGTATTCAATGAGAAAAGATTTTGAAGTTTTTACCCTTATCCTTACCTAACATCATTTGTACAGCATATTTTTATTTTATGTCTCACCCAGATTTAATATCAAAATAAAACCAAACAAAATAAAACAGTTAAAAATGGGTATGGCTATGGTACACCCCTAGCTATACTTATTGCTAGGTGAACAGGGGCATTTGGTGATAGTATGTATGTACTAGCTCTATCTTTAAATCCAACATTATGTCTGTAACTCATCTTCTATGTATGTACATTTACCTGAATAAAAATTCTAATCTAATCTAATGTAATCTAATATAATCTAAGTAAATGCTCCCACTAGCCCGGGACCATCACTTTCTCTCATATTTCATGTTCACCAGTATTTATTTACTTAATAACTACTAGTATAATATCTTGCTATTATAAAACTAATTCTAATATCATAAAAGACATATTTACTATAAGTTTCAAGCAGAGAATGCATATATAGTTAACACGAAGGACTCCTCCTTGATGAAACTCGCCAGCTAAAGTGTTTGTTTATATTAAAATCGATCCTCCGTGTTGTGTAGTAGAGAAAAATTTAGTTATATCTAGTTTACGTAAAGCTACGAGTGGTCCAGAGCGTCCTTAGGGCGACGGTGTGTATTTACGAAGATTTTTATACGTAAATGCCTACCTGAATACCGACGTAGCCGCTACGAAGATGTTAAGAAGAAAAACATTCGTAAGTACGTGTGTAACTGCTTCGTAAATCTGGTCCCAGTAGTACATCGCATTTTAACGTATAAATCCCCTAAGGCCAAAAACTGACGTACTAAACATCACAACGGCTCGCAAAACTGACGTGATGTCGTGATGTGTTGTGGGAAACTCCCACATTAAATATAAAACCTCCAATGTTACAGTCATAAAATTCTGTTAATTGTTATTAGTTCAAATAACAGATAAATAAATTAATTAGTCATAACATGATTACAGAGAATGGAAATAACAAAATTTATTTAACTAATGTTACACTAAACATCTTCCAGTCTCAGAACTGGTAACACAATATATAAATAATTACTATTAATCATATATCTAATGATAATCAGTAGTCAAATATACTAAATAAGCCACTTCTCTCGAATTAAAACAGACCGTTTCTGGCAACCCGTCCTGTTTCTGGTGGTGTCGAGAGCGGGGGAGCAGGAGCAGAAGTCCGTCCTCCAAACAAAGGGCCAAAAGTGATTCCATGCACCCGCCAAACCCCCCTGCTTCAGAATGGAAAACGGTTTACACACGACTCACAACTGTTGACGTTCGAACACTTCCGGAACAAGTGCTTCACTGACTAATTTTGTTCGAACCACAACCCTGTAAATGCTTCACCCGCGTACTACAAATAGAAATAATCGCCAACAGAACCTAAACACCTAACCCATATATGCACAATATGCTAATATATTATAATATTAATTTATATTTGAGAAAATTCCTGTTTTGAACGAACAGCATGTAAAAATTTATGAATGCGTCTGTGGGGTCGACCGCTGGATGGAATGGACTTCAGTCGAGGACGGGTTGGATTTGGCAGTAGGCGGCCATTGTAAACACAGGCAGTAGGAGTGTCGTTGGTGAAACTTTGAGCCCACAAGTGGGCCTCCCACAACACAAATTTCCTCCTGCAAGTTCTAGAAAGCAGCGTGACTTACAACAAAGGAATATAGTCATTATTTCTTGCCACAACTTGGAGGACAAGAGGAAAGTGCCACAGTTCGGTTTGTTTATTAGCTCAGATTTGTTGGTCAATTATTTCTGTGTCTAGGACAAATCTAAACACCACCCACAAGGGTAAGAGTCTCTAATTAACCACATTAATGTGCTACAATTGAAGTATATCTGTCCTTGATAGATTCTTCCCCGGGTATATTGTGAGCACACCAGGAATTAGTTGAGGTGGGGCACACAAGGACTAGAGGGACGCCATTAATACCTGGAGTTGACGTGTCTGGAGAGATCTGATGTGGGATGACCAGTTCTCACACGACAAAACAGCTGAGGATATAAATTCTTTAACTAATGTAGTTGTGTAATAAAAATAATAATAATTAATTCTACCATTTAATTAGGGTAAGATCAAAATATGCCCCCCCCCCCACTAAATGTCTGAAGGGAAGTTTACTGGTGATAATAAATTATAAAATACAGTCCATTTGCCAATAATAAATAAGTAATAAATACAAGTATATACAATTTCTTGACTTAATAACCAAATCACTCACCGGTAGATCTCCCCCACACGCGTTTTCTATTCGTGGGTCCTCGGTTAGGTTAGGTCCGGGCAATTTAGTACATCAGTTTAGTGAGGTTGTGAACGCTGGAGAGGACGGACTGGAGCAACAGTATCGATAAATACTTTAGGCTTTAGTGGCTTGGCTTATTACCTGTGATCTTTATTCCTTCATGAAAGCCATACATGTGTATGTATTACTTAACAACACTTGTGTATGTATTAATAAGTCACACACGAGCATGTATTACTAAGCCACACACGTGCATGTATTACTAAGCAACAGTGCTGTTAGGTCAGCATTAACTTCACAGAATATTACGGCAGAAAACATTTCAGACACAAAGTAACTCGAGAATTTACTAAAAAAAACTGGTAGGTTAAAAGTAATTATCAATCATAGATCTTCACACTAATTAACCCCTATAAGAGGAATGTACATTGTCTCTGTCTCCCAGGACTTAGGCTTTCACCGGAGCAACTTCCGTGTGTGACCCGTGAACAGTGTCCAGCTCTCCACCAGTGGCAGTTACTGAGGGAGTGACTATACTGGAGGGGGACCTGTCTTCTAGATGACCGCGCCAGTTGTCGCATACAAGGCGCAGGCGACGTGGCGGCAGGAGGCGCAGGCGACGTGGCGGCAGGAGGCGCAGGCGACGTGGCGGCAGGAGGCGCAGGCGACGTGGCGGCAGGAGGCGCAGGCGACGTGGCGGCAGGAGGCGCTGGTGACGTGGTGGCAGGAGGCGCAGGCGACGTGGCGGCAGGAGGCGCTGGTGACGTGGTGGCAGGAGGCGCAGGCGACGTGGCGGCAGGAGGCGCTGGTGACGTGGCGGCAGGAGGCACTGGTGACGTGGTGGCAGGAGGCGCAGGCGACGTGGCGGCAGGAGGCGCTGGTGACGTGGCGGCAGGAGGCGCAGGCGACGTGGCGGCAGGAGGCGCAGGCGACGTGGCGGCAGGAGGCGCAGGCGACGTGGCGGCAGGAGGCGCTGGCGACGTGGTGGCAGGAGGCGCTGGCGACGTGGTGGCAGGAGGCGCTGGCGACGTGGTGGCAGGAGGCGCAGGCGACGTGGTGGCAGGAGGCGCAGGCGACGTGGCGGCAGGAGGCGCTGGTGACGTGGCGGCAGGAGGCGCAGGCGACGTGGCGGCAGGAGGCGCAGGCGACGTGGCGGCAGGAGGCGCAGGCGACGTGGCGGCAGGAGGCGCTGGCGACGTGGTGGCAGGAGGCGCTGGCGACGTGGCGGCAGGAGGCGCTGGCGACGTGGCGGCAGGAGGCGCTGGCGACGTGGTGGCAGGAGGCGTAGGCGACGTGGCGGCAGGAGGCGCTGGCGACGTGGCGGCAGGAGGCGCAGGCGACGTGGTGGCAGGAGGCGCAGGCGACGTGGTGGCAGGAGGCGCTGGCGACGTGGTGGCAGGAGGCGCTGGCGACGTGGTGGCAGGAGGCGCTGGCGACGTGGTGGCAGGAGGCGCTGGCGACGTGGTGGCAGGAGGCGCTGGCGACGTGGTGGCAGGAGGCGTAAGGAGTCGGCTGTTGACTGTGCTGGAGCAGCAAACCTCTCACAAGTAGAGACAGCGAGCAAGGCTTGAGTCTCCACTGTGGTGTACTGTTATAAGGCGCGTGTATGCTGGGGGTCCCACGAGCTGGTGGAGGGGGTCTCCAGGGTCACCACTGTGGTGTACTGTTATAAGGCGCGTGTATGCTGGGGGTCCCACGAGCTGGTGGAGGGGGTCTCCAGGGTCACCACTGTGGTGTACTGTTATAAGGCGCGTGTATGCTGGGGGTCCCACGAGCTGGTGGAGGGGGGGGTCTCCACTGTGGTGTACTGTTATAAGGCGCGTGTATGCTGGGGGTCCCACGAGCTGGTGGAGGGGGTCTCCAGGGTCACCACTGTGGTGTACTGTTATAAGGCGCGAGTATGCTGGGGGTCCCACGAGCTGGTGGAGGGGGTCTCCAGGGTCACCACTGTGGTGTACTGTTATAAGGCGCGTGTATGCTGGGGGTCCCACGAGCTGGTGGAGCGGGTCTCCAGGTAGGTGTGTGGCAGAGATAAGCTACGCGGAGCTAGAGATGTTGCAGAGCGTGCCACTTAACTGTAGTGGCAGGCAATAGGTCGTCACACAACTTACCTTGTACCTACGCCACAGAAACAGGAGTGAGGAAACCCACAGAAGTACAGGACGGAGTGACAACTTGATGAATCAGAAGTAGAATAAGAGCAGAGAGCTGACAAGTGACCCGCCATCTTGTGCCGCTGGTGTAAACTAACACAAAAAGGTCTACATGCACTTTAGGAACATAGACAAGTAGGCAACTTGCCGAACACTGTTTGCAGCTTAGGTTAGAGCCACTCATAAGTATGTAGTTCCGGCTTGGAACTCATGCCTGAGAAAGATAACAGGAAAACAAAACGTATATACAGAACGACTCGTCCCTGAGCTGAGGGGGCTGAGTTCTATGGAAATACTGAGGGAACCAGACCTTACCATGATGTAAAAATTAGGTTGACAAGATACCGACTGACGATTCTCGTTGTGTCGCGGGATGTTCAAAGGGCACAAAACATCACTCAAGAAGCCAGTACGAGAAAAAAAGACATAAGGCAAGCCAGGGACACAAATAATTACCCATAGTGGGGTAGAGGAAGCCGTTTTAGACATGGCGAGGAGCCCTAGTTGACTAAGTCCCTGACACCCTTGTTAAGTTGGTGGAACAGAAATTTCGGGTGTCAGGAGTTAACAAACGTCTCACCATGTCCTGGAATCGAACCCAGACCAGTGGGTCCTGGGCCGACTTAGATAGCCACTGCGCTACAGGTAAGTAGAAGAACGGGTTAACAGAAATATTTGAAGAGAACCCAACTCACAATTAAAATTTCAACATCACATTGGGAATATCCATTGTATTAAAACAACCAACATCACAGAAGCTGATCACAGGAGTTGACGCATGTAGGTGCGTGCACTCGCAAGCACATGTAGGTGCGTGCACTCGCAAGCACATGTAGGTGCGTGCACTCGCAAGCGCATGTAGGTGCGTGCACTCGCAAGCGCATGTAGGTGCGTGCACTCGCAAGCGCATGTAGGTGCGTGCACTCGCAAGCGCATGTAGGTGCGTGCACTCGCAAGCGCATGTAGGTGCGTGCACTCGCAAGCGCATGTAGGTGCGTGCACTCGCAAGCGCATGTAGGTGCGTGCACTCGCAAGCGCATGTAGGTGCGTGCACTCGCAAGCGCATGTACGTGCGTGCACTCGCAAGCGCATGTAGGTGCGTGCACTCGCAAGCGCATGTAGGTGCGTGCACTCGCAAGCGCATGTACGTGCGTGCACTCGCAAGCGCATGTAGGTGCGTGCACTCGCAAGCGCATGTAGGTGCGTGCACTCGCAAGCGCATGTAGGTGCGTGCACTCGCAAGCGCATGTAGGTGCGTGCACTCGCAAGCGCATGTAGGTGCGTGCACTCGCAAGCGCATGTAGGTGCGTGCACTCGCAAGCGCATGTAGGTGCGTGCACTCGCAAGCGCATGTAGGTGCGTGCACTCGCAAGCGCATGTAGGTGCGTGCACTCGCAAGCGCATGTAGGTGCGTGCACTCGCAAGCGCATGTAGGTGCGTGCACTCGCAAGCACATGTAGGTGCGTGCACTCGCGCATGTAGGTGCGTGCACTCGCAAGCGCATGTAGGTGCGTGCACTCGCAAGCGCATGTAGGTGCGTGCACTCGCAAGCACATGTAGGTGCGTGCACTCGCAAGCACATGTAGGTGCGTGCACTCGCAAGCACATGTAGGTGCGTGCACTCGCAAGCACATGTAGGTGCGTGCACTCGCAAGCACATGTAGGTGCGTGCACTCGCAAGCACATGTAGGTGCGTGCACTCGCAAGCGCATGTAGGTGCGTGCACTCGCAAGCGCATGTAGGTGCGTGCACTCGCAAGCGCATGTAGGTGCGTGCACTCGCAAGCGCATGTAGGTGCGTGCACTCGCAAGCGCATGTAGGTGCGTACACTCGCAAGCGCATGTAGGTGCGTGCACTCGCAAGCGCATGTAGGTGCGTGCACTCGCAAGCACATGTAGGTGCGTGCACTCGCAAGCGCATGTAGGTGCGTGCACTCGCAAGCACATGTAGGTGCGTGCACTCGCAAGCGCATGTAGGTGCGTGCACTCGCAAGCGCATGTAGGTGCGTGCACTCGCAAGCGCATGTAGGTGCGTGCACTCGCAAGCGCATGTAGGTGCGTGCACTCGCAAGCACATGTAGGTGCATGCACTCGCATGTAGGTGCGTGCACTCCCAAGCGCATGTAGGTGCGTGCACTCGCAAGCACATGTAGGTGCGTGCACATGTAGGCGCGTGCACTCGCAAGCGCATGTAGGTGCATGCACTCGCAAGCGCACGTAGGTGCGTGCACTCGCAAGCACATGTAGGTGCATGCACTCGCAAGCACATGTAGGTGCGTGCACTCGCAAGCACATGTAGGTGCGTGCACTCGCAAGCACATGTAGGTGCGTGCACTCGCAAGCACATGTAGGTGCGTGCACTCGCAAGCGCATGTAGGTGCGTGCACTCGCAAGCGCATGTAGGTGCGTGCACTCGCAAGCGCATGTAGGTGCGTGCACTCGCAAGCGCATGTAGGTGCGTGCACTCGCAAGCGCATGTAGGTGCGTGCACTCGCAAGCGCATGTAGGTGCGTGCACTCGCAAGCACATGTAGGTGCGTGCACTCGCAAGCGCATGTAGGTGTGTACACTCGCAAGCGCATGTAGGTGCGTGCACTCGCAAGCGCACGTAGGTGCGTGCACTCGCAAGCGCACGTAGGTGCGTGCACTCGCAAGCGCACGTAGGTGCGTGCACTCGCAAGCACCTGGTGAGTGTGGGGGTCCTGGTGAGTGTGGTGGGTCCTGGTGAGTGTGGGGGTCCTGGTGAGTGTGGGGGTCCTGGTGAGTGTGGGGTGCCTGGTGAGTGTGGGGGGTCCTGGTGAGTGTGTGGGCTCCTGGTGAGTGTGGGGGTCCTGGTGAGTGTGGGGGTCCTGGTGAGTGTGGGGTGGGGTGTCCTGGTGAGTGTGGGGGTCCTGGTGAGTGTGGGGGGTCCTGGTGAGTGTGGGGGTGTCCTGGTGAGTGTGGGGGTCCTGGTGAGTGTGGGGGTCCTGGTGAGTGTGGGGGGTCCTGGTGAGTGTGGGGGTCCTGGTGAGTGTGGGGGGTCCTGGTGAGTGTGGGGTCCTGGTGAGTGTGGGGGGTCCTGGTGAGTGTGGGGGTCCTGGTGAGTGTGGGGGGTCCTGGTGAGTGTGGGGGGTGAGTGGTGAGTGTGGGGGTCCTGGTGAGTGTGGGGGTCCTGGTGAGTGTGGGGGTCCTGGTGGTGTGTGGGTCCTGGTGAGTGTGGGGGGTCCTGGTGAGTGTGGGTCCTGGTGAGTGTGGGGGGGGTCCTGGTGAGTGTGAGTGGGTCCTGGTGAGTGTGGGGGTCCTGGTGAGTGTGGGGGTGGTGAGTGAGGGTGGTGAGTGTCCTGGTGAGTGTGGGGTCCTGGTGTGGTGTGGGAGTGGTCCTGGTGAGTGTGGGGGGTCCTGGTGAGTGTGGGGGGGTCCTGGTGAGTGTGGGGGTCCTGGTGAGTGTGGGGGTCCTGGTGAGTGTGGTGGGTCCTGGTGAGTGTGGTGGGTCCTGGTGAGTGTGGGGGTCCTGGTGAGTGTGGGGGTCCTGGTGAGTGTGGGGGTCCTGGTGAGTGTGGGGTCCTGGTGAGTGTGGGGGTCCTGGTGAGTGTGGGGGAGTGTGGGGTCCTGGTGAGTGTGGGGTCCTGGTGAGTGTGGGGGCTCCTGGTGAGTGTGGGGGTCCTGGTGAGTGGGTCCTGGTGAGTGTGGGGGTCCTGCTGAGTGTTGGGGGTCCTGGTGAGTGTGGGGGTCCTGGTGAGTGTGGGGGTCCTGGTGAGTGTGGGGGGTCCTGGTGAGTGTGGGGGGTCCTGGTGAGTGTGTGGGGGTCCTGGTGAGTGTGGGGGTCCTGGTGAGTGTGGGGTGCCTGGTGAGTGTGGTGGTCCTGGTGAGTGTGGGGTCCTGGTGAGTGTGGGGGTCCTGGTGAGTGTGGGGGGTCCTGGTGAGTGTGGGGGTCCTGGTGAGTGTGGGGTGGCCTGGTGAGTGTGGGGGTCCTGGTGAGTGTGGGGGTCCTGGTGAGTGTGGGGGTCCTGGTGAGTGTGGGGGTCCTGGTGAGTGTGGGGGGTCCTGGTGAGTGTGGGGGTCCTGGTGAGTGTGGGGGGTGGTGAGTGTGGGTGTGGTGAGTGTGTCCTGGTGAGTGTGGGGGTCCTGGTGAGTGTGGGGTGGTGAGTGTGTGAGTGGTGAGGGGTCCTGGTGAGTGTGGGGGTCCTGGTGAGTGTGGGGGGTCCTGGTGAGTGTGGGGTCCTGGTGAGTGTGGGGGTCCTGGTGAGTGTGGGGGTGGTGAGTGTGGGGGTCCTGGTGAGTGTGTGGGGGTCCTGGTGAGTGTGGGGGTCCTGGTGAGTGTGGTGGTCCTGGTGAGTGTGGGGGTCCTGGTGAGTGTGAGGGGGAGTCCTGGTGAGTGTGGGGGTCCTGGTGAGTGTGGGGGTCCTGGTGAGTGTGGGGGTCCTGGTGAGTGTGGGGGGTCCTGGTGAGTGTGGGGGTCCTGGTGAGTGTGGGGTCCTGGTGAGTGTGGGGGTCCTGGTGAGTGTGGGGGTCCTGGTGAGTGTGGTGGTCCTGGTGAGTGTGGGGGTCCTGGTGAGTGTGGGGGGTCCTGGTGAGTGTGGGTGGTCCTGGTGAGTGTGAGGGGGTCCTGGTGAGTGTGGGGGGTGGGGGTCCTGGTGAGTGTGGGGGGGTGGGGGTCCTGGTGAGTGTGGGGGTCCTGGTGAGTGTGGGGGTCCTGGTGAGTGTGGGGTCCTGGTGAGTGTGGGGGTCCTGGTGAGTGTGGGGGTCCTGGTGAGTGTGGGGTCCTGGTGAGTCCTGGTGAGTGTGGGGGTCCTGGTGAGTGTGGGGGTCCTGGTGAGTGTGGGGTGTCCTGGTGAGTGTGGGGTGTCCTGGTGAGTGTGGGGGTCCTGGTGAGTGTGGGGGGGTGAGTGTGGTGAGTGTGGGGGTCCTGGTGAGTGTGGGGGTCCTGGTGAGTGTGTGGGGTCCTGGTGAGTGTGGGGGGTCCTGGTGAGTGTGGGGGTCCTGGTGAGTGTGGGGGTCCTGGTGAGTGTGGGGTGTCCTGGTGAGTGTGGGGGTCCTGGTGAGTGTGGGGGTCCTGGTGAGTGTGGGGGTCCTGGTGTCCTGGTGAGTGTGGGGGTC